GTGTAGCTCGAGAGAGTCTCTCGGGAGGCTGGACTAGCCACACGTTGTGGTGAACTAGGGTAAAATCGGTGTGTTCTTTCCTTACACTTTTTTATTCCGCTCTTTACTTTATCCCTGCGATTTTTATTCCGCGAAAATTTATAAACATTCCCGTGCCTCACTATTCACCCCCCTTCTAGTGAAGGGCACTTATTCTAACACTCATTAGATAACAGTCGATTAGTACTGAAATCGTATCGAGCGAAGACTCTAGTTGAACTTTCGTACTCAAGGTAGAGACGATGGAATAAATGAAAAATGTATGACTTCCTGATACATTATCAACATACACATCACATCGCGAATGACAAAAATTGATTTGTGCCGTAAAGTCGCGTGAAAGTAAGACAACTCTAAAGAAACGATTAATGTTGATTTTACGAACAACACCTGTGAATCCAGTGCTGAAGATCCTCATTTGGACTCAACATAACCTGATCGCCGATTCAAACACGAGTGTTTAGAATAAGTCAAACTCTGTTATCTAGAGTATCCCATTCTGATGTCTGATTCATTACAACACAACATGCGATTATACTGTGTGAATCGAAATCATTCATTAATCGACAATTCCTTACAAAACCTCGTTGAGATACCCTACAAGGAAATTGACATTATCCTTAATATGAATTGACTGAACGTCGTTGTTATTGACAACTTGTGATGAAGAATTCCTCAACTGAAGACCAATGATGTTAACCTCATATAGGTGAAAGCAAAGCTGATTATTAAACCGACCGAGTTCATTTTGATTGAGTATGCAAATGAAGATGGACCAATGGGACTTTGTACCAACTACTAAAAATCGTTATCCTTTACCTCGTATCAATGACTTATTTGATCAGCTTAGAGGATCCATTGTGTTCTCTAAGAATTGACTTACGGTCAGGATACTATCAGATCCCTATTAAGAAACTCGAAAGAACTCACAATCAAGAATCGTTATCCTTTACTACAAACTGACGACTTGTTCAGTCAAAGAATCTACTTGTTAGAAACGATGAAAACTCAATCTTGTTGAAAGAAGTCACACCTTGTTATGCAATGCCTAGTGACTTAATTGCTTTCCATCGAAAAGATCGATGTAATCTGATTGAATAAATGAAACAAAGTGATACTTGTTATCAACTCGCTTATTTAATCCTAATGAAGGAATTTCTCTTATTGTAGTATGAGTCAAGAAACCGCTCACGGTCAAAGTAACCAAGTGCCAAACAACGAACACGAGAATGTTCATACCGAAGCATCCAGTTACACACCTCCTATTCAGAATGAACCAGTGAACCCACAAAATATTCCCCAAATGATCAAAATGTTGGAGGTCAACCTGATGTTATGCTACCTACATTAATGGTAAACTTCTTACAACAAATGACTCATGCCCATATGTTTCAACCACCACCTCCAGCACCACCTCGTTTGATCACTTTCAAAACTTTTAAAGACAATGGTACTAAGGAGTTCATGGGAGATCGAATTGCCGAACCCTAGATTGCTCTTGATTGGATCAAGCAGACTGCTCGTGTATTACAAAATTTGAACATACCTCTTGTTGATCATCCAAAATTTGCATCTCAATTACTCCGCAAGGAAGCTTATGAATGGTGGAAACGCACTAACGAAAATTGAAACATACCCAAACCTTGGACTTGGGAATTCTTCGATTGGGCATTGAAGAAAGAATATATCCTAGCCTAATTCTGTGAAGAGAAGCGTGCTGAATTTATTCAATTGAAGCAAGGAGATATGACACTCCCTGAATATCGAAAAAAATTTGTCCACCTTGCTCAATTTGCACCCACACTGGTGAGCACAACGGCTGACCGCTTTGAGGAGTTTCACAAAAGACTTCGACTAGATCTTAGGCCGCATGTATCTACTATTCAAACTGTGGATTTCATTGAGGCGTACGACTTAATCTCCAAAGCCGACAAAGATCAAAGTGATTACTATGAAAGTCTGAAGACTGAGGTTACCAACTCAAATGTACAACCAAACAAGTGAGAAGAGACCCCTGCAAGAAATTGATAGTGCCCTACACTCGAAAAAGGGAAAATCAATTGCAATTCAAACGACGTCATCAATGAACAAAATGAGAGTATGGAAACATCCAAAGTGTAATGTTTGTAAAAGGAACCATCAAGGAGATTGTTGGCTTGCACAAGGATTGTGTCTAGGTTGTGGTAAACCTGGACATTTCCGAAGAGAATGTCCCTCTAACCCTGAATCGTATTCAGTTACTTTTGTCCAAAATCAATATGTTCGTTCACGAACAAGTCAATGTTCTAAAACCCAAAAAAATTCAAAGAATCCAACCCAAGGATGATACTCTATGAAGATCCTAAAATACTTAAAGGGCTCGAGGATATGTTGAATAATGAAGAACTTTCTGTAAACAATAAATTATCTCTTAATTTGTATCCCAAGAATATTCGTAACGGCTTGAATCTTCGTGTGTTGAACACTTTGTATAATAAAATCTTTCATTTAACCCATCTTGAAGAAAATGTTTGATATTTACATGATGCATTCTGACGTTGAAAATAAATATTTTTCTGACTTGCACTGGCTATGCATCTTAGAATAATAATTATGGTTAACTCATATTGTTCATAGACAATATTATTCCAACACAAATTCACTGAAATTACATAAAGTAATATTACAAATGCAATTCTAAATCTAATCCCCCGGGAATTGCAAACTCGTTATAATTAGCCCTAGGACCCGGAAAGGCTTTAGCAAACTCTAGTTTGTCTAAAAGCTCATCAACGAAGAAAGAAGAAATGCTTTGTGGTTGACAAGCCATCAAAGCATGATCATGAGGTTCTGGATCTATCTGACAAGGATGAAGAAGTCAATGAAGGAGATAGAATGAAGCCTACGGAGTTCATTCCATTCAGAAGTCTACCACTGAAGACTTCACAAAGAAATCCAGATTCAAACAGTGCTGAGCCTACCGGAAATCTTGGCCAGCCTTTCAATACTCCGGATCACTCAATTGGCGACAATTCCGGAAATGGCGACCCAGTGCCAATCCATCCGGAAACACCAACTTCTGTTCTTCAACCAGAAACTGAACTAGATCAACCAGTCAATCCTAATCAGCACAATCTTCGTTGGTTAAGGGATCATCCTCCCCATCAAGTCATTGCAGATATTCAATCTGGCGTTCACACAAGAAGTGCCTGCCCTGCTCTTGTCTTTGCCCATAGTGAAGAAATCTCAAAAAAATTAGAGTAGAGAGGATGAAATATGTGAAGATATCGAAGGAATATGTGTTTGTGTGTGTAAAAGTGAGGAGAGGGGGTCCCAATTTATAGAAAAGGTGGTCTCCAACGTCCAGATTTTCAAAAATATGGCTGTTGGAGAAATTAATGCTGCTGCCAACGGATATTTTTTTGAAAAATTTGACCTGAACAGCGATGTTCTATAGGCGACATCGCTGTTGAGACAGCGCTGGTAGAATGCTGAACAGCGCTGTTGTGCGTTAAGTTTTTTTAGATGTTGAAAAGTACCCTACAGCGATGTTCCAAAAGTTTCTGGAATTGTGTAAGGGTGTAAACCCATTAGGACAGCGCTGTTGGGTTATCCTACATCGCTGTTATGCGATTGGAAAAAAATTTGTAAAAATGGACATCGATGTTGAAGGTAAGACATCCCTGTTAAAAAAGTTTCTGGTTTTGGTTGAAAACAAAAGTTTTGGGAAGACAGCGATGTTTAAAAGGGAACATCGATGTTCAAAAAGTTTCTGGAAAGTGAAGATTGAAGGGACTTCCTGGGACAGCGCTGTTGTCTTGATGGACAGCGCTGTTGGAAAACTTTATGGTTGACGGTGTTTCCCTCAACAGCGCTGTTGTGTCTCTTGGACAGCGCTGTTTGTATGGTTCCCCCTGATTTCATGAACGGGGTACCTGCAAAAAAGAAAAAGTTCTCCGACGCTCAAGTTAGTAAATGTTTAAAAAATTTAGATGCACAACTTAGATCATCGTGGAGTCAAGGATTCCGAGTTCACTTCGAATGCGGAAGAACGACTCTTTCTCTAAAGGTTTTGTGAAAATGTCGGCTAATTGGTTGTGTGTTTCAACAAACTCAATTTCGACATCACCTTTGAGAACATGATNGAAACAACGTTCTTAGACTTAAACGAAGCCCGAACTTGCTTCCCCTTTTGACATGCATCACATATGGTGTCTTTTTCAAACTTAAGTTTTGGAATGCCAATTACTAAGTCTTGTGAAACCAATTTGTTCAAAAGGTTCATGTTCATATGAGCTACCCTTCGGTGCCATAACCAAGTGTCTTCCTCTTTACTCATGAGGCACTTAGCAAAGCCAGAAGGAGATTTGTCTAACGTTGGGTCCTCGGATGTTAGGTGTGTGATGGTAGTGTGCTTGATTTTGTGACAGGTGCCTATGCCTAGTGTAACAAACGGGAGCAATATGGCCTATCCTATTACAATAATGACAGACTACATTGGGGTTGTACATGTGCCTAGGTTCATAATAGTTAGAAGGTTTAACCATTTTGCTCCTATTTTGTGAAAATGATGGTTTTTGGAAATTTTGAAACTGGCCTCTTCTAGGTGTTCTAGCATCATTTCTTCTTATTTGAGAAAATTCATTTTTATGCACAAAATCATTTTTCTTAGGCTGTGTACCATGACCGTTTTCATTCCTAGGTTTTAGTCTAGGTTGTTTGGTGTCCTTAGGTTGACTAGATTTTCTATTATCTTGATTTTTAGGTTTCTTATGTTGAACCTTAGATGATTGTCTAGGTGGTGGCTCAACATTATCTTTAGCTTTATTTTTATCAAGTTTAGCGACTTGCTCTTTTAAAGCTTTGCAAGACCCACATTCACTTGATGAGCTTTCTGGTTTGTCAGCGCTTCTTTTCCAAAAAATTTGTTTTCTAGTTTAAGTGTTTCATTTTATTTTTCCAATTTTTCAAAATCGTTCTCAAGTAAAGAAAGTCGTTTCTTCAAAGATTTATTTGTTTTAGAAGCGCTAACAAATTCCTCATAGAGTTCATGAAGTGCTTCTTGCATTTCTTCAAAAGTATAAGAGTCGGAAGAAATGTTACATACCTCTTGGACGTCGTCGCTTTGATCTTCGTGTGCCACGAGGCAGAGATTTGCAGATTCGTTCTCCTCTTGGTCGGTTGATTCGTCGCCGGAATCGCCACCTCAAGAGATGTAGGCCCTTTGCTTCTTGAAGCCAGGCTTGTCCTTGCCGTGTTTGGCCTTTGGACACCTTGGCTTGATGTGGCCAATCTCGCCACAGCCGTAGCATTTGGTGTAGGTCTTTTTGAGAGCATGAAGATTGTTGATGATCTTTGAGAACCGGTCGAACATGTCATCAATTTTCTCACCTTCTTTCATCCGGAACATTTCGTACTCTTGGGTGAGAAAGTCGATCTTGGCTTCGCGAACTTGATCGGTACCTTCGTACGTCACTTCAAGCTTGTCCCACATCTCCTTGGCGGTTGTGCAACAGGAGATCTTTCGGTAGTCATCGGGGTTAACCGCGCAATATAGCATATTGATGGCCTTTGCATAGTTTTCGATCTTCTTGATATCCTCGGCATAGAATTCGTCTTCGGTCTTTGGGACCGTGGTTTCTCCCACTTTCTTCATAGGGATTTCTTCGCCATTTTTTATCACCAACCACAATTGGAAGTTGGTGGAACGAATATAGATTCTCATCCGTTCCTTCCAATAGGAGTAATTGGTGCCATCAAAGAGTGGTGGCCTAGAGGTTAATTGACCTTCTCCAATTCCTGCATAGAGATTTCTAGAAGAAGAGCCCATGATCGCTTTACTCTCAAACGGTTAAGTTTGGACGCGAGTTAGGCTTTGATACCAATTGTTAGAATAATAGACCAACGTTAGAGGGGGGTGAATAGCGTTTGATCAAGAAATCGCAGAAATAAAAATGAATAAGCGAGAAGTAAAGAGAAAAGAACGAGGCACACCGATTTTACCCTGGTTCACCACAACTTGTGGCTAGTCCAGCCTCCCGAGAGACTCTCTCGAGCTACACTACTATCTCGTTAAGCTTAATGGTGCTTAACAAACCCGTACAACTTGAGAATTCGAGTCACACGAACCTCAACGAACCTTCGAAGGAAACAACCCTTCCTTCGAACAATAAGAGAAATACCTTCTCTTGTCAAGTGTCTAAGAACACTAAAAACACTCAAGAACAATACTCTCTTTTAGAGTGGATAATGAGTAAACTAAGAACGCTCAAGAACACAACACAAGCTTCACAAAAATGGCTCTCAAAAGCTATGAAAAATTGAAGAATGATTTGCAATGAAAGAGTAGGAGTTGTGAAGTAATGTGATGTGTAAAA